AGATGCAAAATCCCCCCAATCTGGTTACTGCTATGAATTTGGCTCACGCTTTTGAACGCAAGCTGCAACTCAACCGCGGAAGTATCAGTATGGGAGGCCTCAAACAGCATGGGCACCCCCGAAACCACTCGGCATGGCCCCATCTTCTGCAGCCAGCTGGGAACAAAAACCACAGTCGAGCCACGATTCCATATCGGCATCCAGTTTGGGAAGCAGCGTGGTGGCACCCCCTATTAAGCACTTGTCCAGGGCTGAGATGGCAGAACGCAGGGCAAGGGGACAGTGTTTTAATTGTGATGAACTTTACTCAGCAGGGCACAAGTGAAAGAGACTTTTCTGCCTCCTGGTGGAACAAGAGGAAGATGAGGATGAACCCTCTTCATTGGAACCCGATCCAAGAGGAAAAAATCATTCCACCTATCCTGGATTCCTTTGACTGTGTTTCAAGACACCCATCCTGAATTCGAGCTTGAGGACAAGCTCTTAGTCCAGGAGGGGAGTAATGTTGGATGCTTTTACAGCCGCTAACAGCAGCAGTAATGGGCGATTAATTCAGAGTATAATGGACAGCAGTAGTAATGGGCGATTAACTCAGTGTTCTCATCTTATCTAATTCAGTGATCTCATCTTATCTAATTCAATGTACTCATCTTATCTAGCTAGATACAGTTCTATCTTATCTAGTAGGGAGTCTTATCTGTTCAGTGTTCTTATCTAAATTCAGTAGTATAGATCAGTAGGGAGTCCTCCTAAAAGTGGGATTTTTATCTTCTTGTAATCTCCTATTTAAAGGAGAATGCATATACTGGCTAAAACACTGGCTAGTATATGTGGTCAGTGCAGAAGGTGAAGAGCCCCTTGAAGATAAAGTTATGTTCCAATGGTTGGTTGGAAAACTTCTTTATCTTTGTCTCACATGACCACATATCTCTTATGTAGTCAGTGTTTTAGCCAGTATATGCATTCCCCTAAAACACTGACCACATATACTAGCAGTGATGTGATATGGTCTCCAAACATCAGTATGCACAATTTCAAAAGGAATACCACTTCTTTTATTACTCAAATGATAGATTGTTCTACAATGCTTTGCAAAAGATAAATGACCTAACCGATTATGCCAAAGCATAACCTGGCTCACAGACTGAGAAACAAAAGACCTCCCAACTTCACTATCTTCCCCATGTGAGTTCCCTCCAAGTAGGTAGATTCCATTCATCTCACGGCCAATCCCAACCACCTTCCTTGTCTCCAGATCCTAAAAAACACATCGAACAGGAGAAAAGGTCACTGAACAATTTTGGTTTTTAGTGATGTTGTTAACTGAAAGCAAGTTAGTACTAAGTTTAGAACATGTAAAATTAAGGACAAAGAGATGGCATTAAACAATTTAATGTCTCCCTTGCCAGAAATGGGAACAAGGGAGCCATCAGTAATAGACACTTTGTCTCTACCAAAGAATAAGTATTAAGTAGTAAACAATGAGGACAAGCCAGTCATATGGTCAGATGCACCTGAATCTATCACCCAACAAGGTTCAATGTTACCTGGGTTGAGGCATGATATGTTGAAGCCCGTATACCTGAATGAGCAAATGTTGAAGTGGGAGTAAGAAATGTTGTATCTAGTGGCTGAGATAAGGTTGCTGAATTGCCAACTTCACTCTCCAACTGAGTCAGAGCAGCCCAAACAGCTGCTAAGGTGTCTAGGGATGTGGTTCTTGTGCTAGATGAGGGTGCACCATCAGTAGTAACAGCCACATTGGCATTTCCCCTTTTGTTACTGAGCTTTGCTGGAACTAGATTTGGATATAACTTCCAACAGGTGTCTTTAGTATGCTTCGGTTTCTTGCAATGTTCACACACTAACTCCCTCTTATCTTCCTTCTTCATATCCCTCTCCTTGTCACCCCCAAACTGTTGGTTTCATTGCTGCTAAGGCTAATTCCAATGGTTGATGCTGCAACATAACATTTTTCCTACTTTCTTCACTGTGCACTAAAGAGTAGGCTTGCGACAAGGTCACACTTTCTCTGGTGAGGAGTTGTCTCACAATATAATATTCAGAATTCAGACCGGCTAGGAATTCAAAAACCCTATTGGTTTCAACTTGTTTTTCGTAAGTTTGTGCATCCTTCTGACTTTCCCACTCAATTGTCTCTAGGAGATCAATTTTATGCCACAAGGATTTCAAAGTGGAGAAGTAAATTGAGACTGGTTTCTCTCCTTGCTTAAGGTTGTTTACTTCACATTTCAGCTCATAGGCCCGTGGTTGGGAGTAGGTTTCTTTCATGATGTCTCAAATCTCCTTAACAATTTTCGCCCACAAGTAATTTCGACTAATGTGAGGCTGCATGGAGTTGCACAGCCAAGTCATAACCAAATAGTTCTCCTGAACCCATTTGGTATAGGTTGGGTCCTCCTTGGTTGGTTCCTTCACATCCCCCAACAGATAGCTCAGTTTTCCTCTGCCCCCAATAGTCATCATGGCTGACTGAACCCATTCCAAGTAATTTGATCCATCAAATTTGACAGTGGTAATCTGAAATGAGTTCTTAGTCATGTTACCAGAACCACCAGCCTCCAAACCACTTTCCCCTTAATTCTTAAACTCCATTCTTGCCATCTCTTCCAAGAGATTGATCAAAAAGAAACTCTTTTAGTGCTGAAACAGGTGTAATTGCACCTAGAACTTGCTAACAGCTGACCTAGAAGGATGAAATAGGATCGGCAATCACCTAGAAATATTGGAACAGGTCTAATAGTCTCCTAGAAACCAATATTACTCAGTCTGAAATACTGTAACAGATCTAACTATTATCCAGGAATTGACAACAGTCATAAATTTAGGGTTTAAAAACTGAGAACTGGGCGTAGGTCAAGAGAAAACCCTAAAAAAATCAGGAGAAAATAGAAAACTCCCAGCCGCACCTTCCAGATTATTCAAAACAGACTTTGGTTGAAGTCGATCTCAAAAACAAACACAAACTCACTCAGAGAAGTCTGGCCGCCACCTCCAAACCACAGTCTGAACCCTAATCTTGAACTTTCTTCCTTTCCTCTGATTCTTCCTGATCACTGGACACCCTCCAAGGCTCTACGATCCCTTGGGCATCTGCTGCACTCCCCCAGCAATCTCCAAGAACCAGCCAATTAACTTATCTCTGCTAAAACTTCTAACCCTAGGAAGTTCTCATGTAGTTGGCCTGATTAGACTCACATGAGAAGCCCTAGGTTGGCTCTGATACCAACTTGTCTAGTAAGACTGCAATCAATCCTAGCTGTAATGTAAAATAAACAAGAAAGAAAGTCGAGAAGAAGAGAAGAAGAAGAAGAGAAGAAGAAGAAGAGAAGGAGAAGACGAAGAGAAAAAAAGTCAAAAAAAGAGTGTGGGTCATTACTAAGATTGTCGCCCCACTCAGCTATTTATATTAATAGTTTAAACAGGGTAGAAAACCAGAATTACCCCTACTGCTTACATAAGCTAAGAAATAATAGAAACAGAAAATAACTACCAACTACCACTAAATAACATAAATAGACAAACAGTAGTGGGGACCACATTATTGTTC